GTACAATCTTAATTTATGAGATAGCTGAATAGCAGTGCAGTACCAGACAGTTACCGTCCCATATGGGCACCGGCTGCGATTTTTTTTCCCGCACGAAACATTTGCATGAAACTCCACTCGGGTCGTCTTGGATTGATTCGACTCGAGTTTGATATACGAACAAGTGCAGGCACTTCACAATGTCGTGACGCTCGAGTATTCTATTAGTACCTTCTGTACTGTTCTTTATGTTTACCTACGTCAGGCCTATGAAACCTTACCGATTCATGGGATGTTGGCTACGTCTGTAACTAACTGTGAGCTACTTGTATGTTAGTTATCATTGTACTACAACAACAACAACTACAGCTAGTACCCCCTTCTATAGTATAGTGGTAAATAGATACATTCCTATCAAAGGCTAGAGCAAAAGAGGCTAAACTAGTGGGCCTAGTGGAACGGCCTAGTTCCAAGCCGAGTTAGGTCCCTAACTGCTAGCCCCCCTACCCCACCAGACTTCCGCCAGACTAGGCCCTAGGTTCCTAGGCCTGACACACAGTCACGCTTCGCATGCCATTGACTGAAATTTTGAAATAAAATTAAAATGAAATTAAAATGGGACAGTGAGTGAAAAACACTAAAATTAAATATATCACTCCGGCATTATTGGAACTTGGCCTATAAGCCTTGTTATGTAATTAATAATAAATAATAATAACAATAATAATAATACAGTATTAATAACAATAATATTAATAACAATAATAATAATTAAATAACCATTATATAATTTCGCCATTATAATTAACTTAGAATAAGCCTTGTAATCAAGAAGCACCTACAGTATACTATATTAGGCCTATAATCCAAACTCCCTGCCTAATTTTTAGTAATTCTAGGCGGAAGCAGGTCAACTCAGCCCCAAGTCAACTAGCGGCCCCAGTCATCTAGGCCCCAAGTCAACACGGCCTCATGTCAAACAACCCCAAGTGTATCGTTATTATCATTAGTTATTCTATATACCTTTGTATAATTTTTATTAATATCATTTTAATATTATTTTTATTAATGCAGTTTTAATTATTGTAAGTGCATGTAAATGAAAAGAAATAACAAAGACAACGATTTAAAAACACTTTAATTTTGGCTTTGCATTCAAATCTACGGAAGCCTGTTAGTGTCAACAGTGAATAAAAATTTCAAATCAGTTAACTGGCGGGCACCAGATAATATGTGGCGGCCGCCACATAATTATCTGGCGGCCACCACATAGCCATAAAGCGCATGATCGTAATAGGCCTAGCTAGTCATTTTAGCTACAGCTTGTCATAGCTTATAATAGCAGTCATATAGCCATTTTACAAAATAAATCTATATCTTTGCTGTAGCACATCAAATGTCCTACATTTGCTGTTTATATAATTGTGATATTGTCTGTTATAGCTGAGTTAAATATTAAAGGGCATTAAGTGATTAAAAGCATACTAGTAGCTGGTCACCAGCTATACCTTATAATTGCAGTCATATTGCACCAATTTCAAAAAATATTAGCAATTACAGGGTTAAGTATTAAATAGCGATTAAAATTAAGCATTAAATACGGTGGTGTTTAAAAGCATGGTAGCTGGTCACAATCTAGCTATAATATCAATTATATTATAGCACCAATATCACAAAATATAGCAATCACTGATTAAAAGCATGTTAGTAGCTGCCACAATGGTTTAACTGCATTTTTTACACAACGCTTGCGATGATAGGCGTTAGAGTTAAGCACGCCAGCAGTTTACCATTTACCATTGAAGGCTATTGCGCCTATAGGGATAGGTACGTCAGCAGATTACCGTTGAACAACGATATTCGTTATAGTTATAGGCATTAGGGTTAATCACGCCAGCAGTTTATCATTGAATATGTGTTAGCGATGATAGGCATTAGGGTTGAGCACATCAGGTGAATAGGCGTTTGCGAAGATGTCCGTTAGGGTTAATCACGTCAGGGGTTTGCAACAACAGGCGCTATGGTTAAGCACGTCACTGGTTTACCATTGTATAGGCGTTTGCGGACGATAGGCTTTAGAATTAAGCACATCAGGCGTTTGCGTCGATAGATTATATGGTTATTTTGTGGATTAAGTTTGGAGCGGGTCAGTATTTTACCATTGAATAGACGTTTGCGACGATAACAAATAGGAAAAATAAAATATTCAATTGCAAATGACCGGTGAAAATGCCTATACATTAGTGTACACGGTTCCTACTGGCGACTCAGTCTGAAAATCTTATTAACCCTATTCCTCTTCATTAATACAATGGCTGGTGCTAACACCTATTTATTAGCGGACATGGTAAAATGGCTGACATGTTTATCTTTAAAGCCTATCGTCGCAAATACCTGATGACGTGTTTAAACCTAACGCCTATCATCGCAAACGCCTATTTAATGACATTCTTTTAATCGCTATTTTATGCTTCCTAGTGATATTATATTTTGTGAAATGGGCGCTATATGACTGCTACTATAAGCTATAGCTATTGTATAACAGCTACGAACATGCTTTTAATCGCTATTTAATACTTAACCATGTAATTGCTAACACTTTGACTGCCATTATAAGGTATAGGCTGGTGACCAGCTAATTGTATGCTTTTAATCACTATTTAATGCCCTTTAATATTTAACCCAGCCATAACAGACAATATCACACTCACATAAACAGCAAAATAGAACATATACTGTAATACAGTTGATGTGCTACAGCAAAGATATAGATATATTTTGTAAATGGCTATATGACTGCTATTAGGCCTATAAGCTATTACAAGCTGTAGCTAAAATGAATAGCTAGGCTAAATGCTACCGTATATTAAATGCTAAGCCAATCATGCGCTTTACTGGCCTGTTCTACATCAAGATATGCTATACCGCAACCTGGGTACCCATAGCCAAGCGGCGGCCGCCGGATAGCCAAGCGGCGGCCGCCGGATAGCCAAGCGGCGGCCGCCGGATAGCCAAGCGGCGGCCGCCGGATAGCCAAGCGGCGGCCGCCGGATAGCCAAGCGGCGGCCGCCGGATAGCCAAGCGGCTATCCAGCGGTGTGGCTATCCAGCAGCCGCCACGTATTATCTGGCGGCCGCCACGTATTATCTGGCGGCCGCCACGTATTATCTGGCGGCCGCCACGTATTATCTGGCGGCCGCCACGTATTATCTGGCGGCCGCCACGTATTATCTGGCGGCCGCCAGTTAACTGATTTGAAATTTTTATTCACTGTTGACACTAACCGGCTTCCGTACAAATCTCTTGGTACGGATAGCCAAGCGGCGGCCGCCGGATAGCCAAGCGGCGGCCGCCGGATAGCCAAGCGGCTATCCAGCGGTGTGGCTATCCAGCAGCCGCCACGTATTATCTGGCGGCTGCCACGTATTATCTGGCGGCCGCCACGTATTATCTGGCGGCCGCCACGTATTATCTGGCGGCCGCCACGTATTATCTGGCGGCCGCCACGTATTATCTGGCGGCCCCCACGTATTATCTGGCGGCCGCCACGTATTATCTGGCGGCCGCCAGTTAACTGATTTGAAATTTTTATTCACTGTTGACACTAACCGGCTTCCGTACAAATCTCTTGGTAAATATTCTATAAATACCGTACACAGTAAATTGGGACCGAGTTGACTACTTGGGGCCGAGTTAATTTGGGGCCGAGTTGACTTACTCTAGCCGAGTTGACATGGGGCCGAGTTGACTCGAATTCGTTATGACATAGGTTAAATAATTATCCAAAACCGCGGCCAACTAAAAAATAAAAATGTTCACAGTATGTAACTCAAATAGGGCCTAACACTTTTTATTATTCGTGCAGCGAAATCAAATAATACATGTCGTTTTAAACGACCCATATTTGCATGGCAATCATGTTTTTTTCAAAATCAGACAGCGTGCAGCAATCCTGTATCTCTGAAGTTTTGTAGATGTTTATCCTTGGTTGATGACCTTTTGACCTCCAGAATTGAGATTGTCGAGTCGAGTCGAGTCGAGACAACCCGAGTGGAGTTTCATGCAAATGTTTCGTACGGGAAAAAAAATCGCGCGCCGGCTAGACCGCTAGTCTGGCGGTGAACCTAGGCCTTGTCTGGGGAGTATGGTCGTAGCAGCCGCGAGGGAAAGTGACCGCGCTCAAAATGTATGGAAAGCCAGTAGCGCTATTCCGATTGATTGATTGATTGATTAAAGATCGATTTGTTTACAGATTGATTACAGATCGAAACATATTTGTACGTACATGACATAATTGAATTATGATATGATTAAATTGATAATTATTATATGTTATCAGTTCGGATTTTTATGTATAATGAACTTGTATTTTATATTTCTTTCAGGACACAAACGGATTTCAACATGGGATCTGTCAATACTAAATTTACAATATAATAAAATGTGATGAACGTGAAAAACATAGGTCAAATGCAATGAAACAGATGTTTATTCACTAAAGAACAGACTGAACACAAGTTAGTAAAATTCGAATAAAGAACTAAAGAAAGAAGACATTTAAAAAGTACCATCCATTTCTGTAAGAAAATAGGCATACTATAAATCAATCGATATAATAAATAAACTAACTAAATATTAAGTCTCGATTTATATACTAAGCTATATATAAATTATAAAGAAAATATACATTAATTTGATAATTGATTAAAGCAGTATTAATATCGAACTCTGATGCCCATTGTCCAACATACATTTTGCATACAGTACTGCGCGCTTGGCGCTCCATACAAATTGCTGTGTATCGACTCGCGGCCGCTTTCCCTGGCGGCCGCTACGACCCTAATCCCTTGTCTGGCCCTCTAGGCTTTATAGGGCCTAGGCTAGTAGGCTACATTATTTAGCACGGTATGGTCTAGCCTAACAACATTTTATCGATCATGCCAGTTTACTCGGAAATAACTCTGGACAGTTCCAAAATCCACATATTAAAACACACCTCGTCAAAAAATATACTTTCATACCTGACTGCGAGAACCACAAAATGTGTTTACATTTTTCAGCGCATGCGCATATATTCTTGAAAGTTGGAAGCTACGGTACGTACCGTAATATTTCAGAGGGCAGCAGACAGAACTTATTATTATTATTTTTTTTATTAGAAAAACTTAAAAATTTGGAAACGATCACACACAGCTAGGTGAAGTCTTACAGATTGATGTGTACTTTTTAATATCAAATCTCTTTACAATGTTAAAGCTTTAAATGTATGCGGAGATATAATGTACGTTTTTTTTTTCTTTACCATTAATAGTTGAACATTATTTGATCTAGCAAAGGTGTAAGCAAAAGGTAGTTACTATTTGACCATTATTAATTTATATTATTCACTACAGAATTGTTATTGTTGTTGTTATGGCTTGTTCCTGTGTTGAGTATGGTTAATCAAATTGTAATTATCCCAGTTTTTAGCTCCGATGAGGAGCTCCAGATCTCTCGGCTGGTTGTTAATAGATCTTTTTTTAGAGCTACTGCCTCTATTGTACATGCCCTCATGAGACTAATTGATTGATAGTGATTGAATAATAGATCTTTTTTAGTCTACTGTCTCTATTATACTGCCTTCTTGAGGAGCTTTGAAACACTCGGCTGATTAATTAATAGTTAATACGTTTGGAGTAGATAAATACTTGATACAAAAATATTAATTTTAAATAGGCCTATAAGCGAATCTTTACAAAACTTAGATTGGGTATTTTGGAACTGGAGGCAGAAAAGGGTAGATGGGTAAAAATAGAAAGAAAGGACAGATTATGAAAGTTATGTAACTTAGATAAAATAGAAGATGAATATAATTTGTTTGTCCCTATTTTATTGACATGAGAAAAGCATTTCTACCACATAAAGCTAAAAATAATGCACAGAAGAGGGCGTATCTTAAAGATCTCTGACTAGTTTGGTCACGTGCGATGTAAGCGCCGCATCAAAATCGTTACATCAGACAAAAGAATTAAAAGAATGAAAGGAATTCAGATTATGCCGGGCGCTTGAATTACCACAATGCCTTCGTGATTGTCATTCTTTCAGATTCCTCTTCTCGTTTCAATTTAGTATTATTCGTTGCATTATTCCACTTGTTGTTTCTAGGTTTTTCTCCATGCCTTTAATCACTTTATATAAAATTAATATAGGCCTATATATAATCTGTATATTATACGTAGCTTAAATAAATTCGCTCCACTAATGTGGGAGCCCTCAATTTGTTTGAAGTAACAGAGTTTAGTAGTCTTATCCGTAATAATATTTCAAAGGACTGTCACTGAAATAATTTGCACTGTCTTATGCGCTTACAAAGATGAAATTAGCATAATGTATTAATGTTGAAAACAAAATTATTTTATCTGGTACCAATCTAAGCTCTTCTTTCCTTAGATGTTAGATGTGCTTGCAAAGAGAGCCCCATTTCACACTGAATGTTATGTCAATTCTAAGAATGTTTAAGGTTATATCGGTTGATGAGGAATCTACTGATTAGGCCTATAATAGCAACTTGCATCAATTTCAAGATTCAGAGGGGGGCACATCCCCTGTCCGCACAAGGGCACACATTGGCGAGACACCAGGCGCGTAACAGGGGTCTTGGGTCAGAGTGGGTATTTATTTTCCCGGTTAGTAATTTACCATACCCACCCCACCCCACTCCCCATAGAAAACAATACGACATAGGACTTATCTTATTTATAATATAGGCCACACACGTGTGTTTGAAACTAAATATAGGCCTAAGCATTTTCATCATGGCTTTATTTTTTACAAACATATTCTTTCACCATCAATACACACTGAGGCCCTTCTTTTAGGTTAAAACGATCTATCTTAAATTTGTCTTTCTTGAGTTTGGGACTATTATGTGTTTAAATAACTTAAAAGGATAAACCTAAAAAAGCCCTAAAAAATGCGCGCGAAGCGCGCAAAATATTTTTGTGTTTTTAATTCTAATTTCGTCGGAATTGATGAAAACTCCCTAAAATGTGCAATTTATAGGGCCGAGGAAATTGGCCTACCGTAACAAGAAATGCGCGCAAACAATTTGAGAATTTTAGGCACTTTCAGAGGATGCATTTGTCAAGGGGTGCGGAAAGACTTTCCAAAGATGGGTATTTTCCGTAATTGTTCCCCGGTGTCTTTATTTTTCTCTTCTCCTTTTCTTTTCTTTTTTTCTTCTTTCTCTTTCCCTCGATCCCTCTCCCCTCTTTCTTTTCTCTTATTACCCAGCCCGGTACGACGGCTTGGTCATCCCGGTAAAAACAGTCAGGGAAAGGGAAGGGGCAGTTCTCCCCCTGCTCCCCCCGCCTGTTACGACACTGGCTAACACGCCAATAATCCCCCACCCCCAATGAAAAATATTTTTCTACGCCACTGGCCTCTGGGTCTCAACGGCATGTCGCTCGCCGTATAATATCATATAAAAGTACTTAGGAGACATAAACATTAAAAAAAATAAACAGGTTTGACATAATTTCTGAATAAAAATGTAATTTATTTTAATAGACTGATTTGCATTACAGCGAAGTATGGGTCTATAAGGTCTATAGTTAAAATAGTAGGCCCTAATAGCCATTTCAATCAATATGTAAGGCATAGTTATCTAACATTTTATTCATATTTATTGCGTCTTAGAGAACTCTAAAAACAATGAAAAGTGTAGGTTAGGGGTAACAACAATTATTTTTGAAAATTAAGTAATAACCATATGGGTAACTAGACCTGTACAGTGCGTTTTCAAACAGTTAATCCATTGCATGTACATGGTTTGAGATAAAGCACATGGGTCTAGGCCTATTAAAAATGATTGTTTTAAAATTAATAGGACTGAGACAGTGACTGTGACTGTAAATAGGTATTATGTTGGTAGCTTCGATACGTTGTTTTCGAGAAACTGCATTTAAGTGTCATTGCTGTTGAACTATCATGCGCAAAAAAGGTTTTGAATATTTTTATTCCTTTAGCTAGGCACATTGTCAAAGATTACCATTACCAGTATTATAATGAGACTCATGGAGTTGTTTTGTCGTGAGAAAAGAAGTGGGATCTGACAGGATTTGAACCCAGGACCCTGAGATTGGAAGGAGGAGAGCATCTTACCCACCAAGCTATTCAACTCCACTTATATAGTAGGCCTAGACACCATATATGGTGGAAGACCGAAGACCTCCAATCATTTCTAAATTATCTTATTGAAAGTATTCAAAATCATCATAAAAATGATTATTATTTATTATTTTCATTATTTCATCGGAATAAAATGAGGAATATCAAGAAATAACTAAGGGTCTTCGTTTTATAGACACCTTGAGTGTCTACACTGAACGAAGACCCGAAAAACGAAGACCCACATTTTTTCTCTTTAATTTTATGAAAATATATCAGACTATCACAAAATCAAATTTACGAGATTATCTGGACGTCTGTTTGTGAAATTATCAAAGGTCTTCGTTTTTTAGACACCCTATATAAATGTCTACAAAACAAAGACCGAAGACCTGAAAAACTCAATTAAGTTTTTCAAAATATTTCGAAATCATCATAAAGCCATTGCCAAGTTTCTCTTTTATCATCTATGGAAATAACATTAAGAATATCAAGGATAACAAGGGCCTGTCTACAAAACAAAGACTGAAGACCTGAAAGAAACGGACCTCCTGAATTATTTCTCAATTATCTAAGCTAAGGTCTTCTGTCTTCGTTTTATAGGTTGTCTATAAAACGAATACCCTTGAAAATGTCACGGTCTTCGTTTTATAGACACCCGAAACATAATTCAGAAAACTTTCTTCTTCGGTCTTCGATTAATAGACACCCGAAACATTAATTCAAAAAGCTTTCTAACTGCTTACCGAACTTTCATATCATAACCTCTATATAATAGTTAAGCTTACTATTTATTTTACATTAAAACACTTTAAAAGCTGAGATAATGACACAAGCCGTAATGGCAATATCCACTGCGTCTGAGCGAGAGCTGCTCTGACAGGGGCCTGTAGACATAGGCATATTATTATCCCAATCATTAATGTTAAAATGTTATGTGCATATATACAACAATGGACAATGCCAAGGGAAATGGAGAATGGTAGTAAGTACCGGTATTAGGGGAAACACTAGCGGCAAGGAAGCCTGGTAAAGCTGGTATTTCTTCATGTATTCCATATTTAGTCCATTTACCAGTAGTCTCATCCTTCATCCATGTGTCTCCGTTTAAATCACTAAACGCCATCGTATTCGTAGCGTTGGAAGAGGGTGCAGGTTGACTTCTATATGGAGGCCTTACTGGGAGCTGTATAGCAGTACGATTATACATCATCCTGGATACAATACAATAGATAATACGGCATGTATCATCGGTAATGGTGGCTAGATATGGAACAAAACCATTCGGGCACTGCTTCGGATAATTCGAAGTACTTGTCTCATCGGACGTTTCTTCTGTACGTGCAAATGGGTTGCCGTCTCTACAAGTAAACATTCCACCGAACTTTACCTTAAATGGCACTGCTCTTGAGTCATCACTAACACAGATTTTCAAACCATTCCCTAACGATATTGACATGAAATACTCAGGACACTTCGAGGCTCCCATTAGAGGATTTGGAACCCTTGGCGTGTACATGCCACCAAAATAATACAGCTCCTGTAAGTCTGCTCCTTGACCAGAGCACCAGTAGCTGCTGATCTGAGCAAATGCCCTTTTTCTTATAGATACTGTTGTTGTCATACACCTTTGCCTCCCCCACCCACCCGTAGTGCAGGTCGTTCTCCTTTCTGGGACAGAGTATTTCTTTGATATTTGCTGATTTGAAACCAGGATCTTGGTGTAATCACTGGGACAAGAATAGCTACCAGTTATAGGATTTTTATTATGCTGTCCTCGACATATTCTGGCATTGTCAGGAAGACGAGTAGTACATCTTGTAAACACACCACCAAATTTGAATTTAGTTTCCATGGTTGCACTGCATATACCACTCATTCCAGTATTTGCAAGAAAATTGAAGCTAGGCGAGTCACTTTTAACGCAGCCTATCAAAGTGTTCATCTCATAGTATCTAGAAATAGCCGCTTTAACTGCAAGAGATGCCTGCCGTACAAGAAATGGGGGCAACTCTTCGATGTACGAATTTGTAATAATTGTATGTAGGGGTTCACCAACCTTGTCTGTAGCAACCAGATTTTCTCTTATTCCGTCTTCCCACTCACTCATATTGGTATCGGTTTTGTAAATAGATCCGCCGTAACTTTCAATGTGGGAATTGGTGGTGCTGGAATGAAATGATTTCATGGATTCTTCAGTTACTTTAGCCTCTATTGAGAGCGATGCCGAAAATCGGCCAAGAACAGACGTTGAAGCTGAAGCTGCAGCCATTGCTGATATTGAATCCTTACTATAGGTCTCCATCAGATTCCTCTTTATTTGCGATTCTTGCATAATGACAGCGCCAGCATCGACTATAGTCAGTACATGTGTACCATAGTCACGTACGAGTGTGTCGGCGAGGTATGCTGCCATCTCATTGTCTTCATTTGCCAAAGTGTTTCCAATTTGGATCACACGGGCTTTAAATACTCTACTAAGAGGTACTCTTGATCCTAGCAGAACCTGATAAAGTCGATGACGGACTTGTACACGGGTGGTGATAGACTTGTCACTCACTTGTCTTTGTTTATTCTTTTGGACGTCTACAGAGAAGCTTCCGCTCACTGACGTGGTGATCCCTTCATATGAGGCTTGCGCGTTTATAGATACTGACAATGCACTTTCATAGGATGACCACTTGTCAAATACTTCAGCATAAATATCAACCTAAAGAAAACAAAAATAACCAGTCATAGCATCTTGAATAACAAGACCTAATTATAAACAAAATACGTAGTTTGAGGGCGAAAATAAGCAAGACACAGCTAGAATTTCTGGGTCATTTATAAGAAAAGAATTTAATATAACACACTAAGAGAGTACTTCGCTGGAAAGAGAGGTAGAGGTAGTAGACCTAGGCTAAATTTCATGAAGAGTGTGGTCGAGCTTGTGAACATAGAAGAGTGGGAGATTTTTGCAGCAGCATGATTGCCAACGTCCTATTATGATAATGAGGAATATAAGGTGACATATGTGCACATAGGGGACGTATAAACTGGCTCTAACGAGTTGAAGTCATCATTAATAAATCTGTCTGCATTCATCATCTATACCAGTGAAAATTATGGAGGTATTAACAGGATCTCTGATTACGGTTACAGGGAGGTTCAAAGAATAAGGCGGTAGCTAAAATTATCAACTTATAAATACAGTATGTCGACAAAATGCATAATCTTACCTGACTGTTTTTTGTTGGGATCGTGAACATTCCATCAGGTATCAGATAAAATTCGTCTTCGGTAAAAGTACATGTTCTGTACTCGTATTCTACCACCATGTCCATAAAGACGTTACGCAGGTTGTCCCAACCGATACCTGAAACCAGAATATTTTGTAATCAGTATAATTCACACATACAAAATTATATTAATAATAATAATAATTAATAAATAACAATAATAATTAAATGCAACCAAGGGCCTCGATCCGTGTTCAAAAGTGGGAGGAGGGTGGGGGGAACGAAATGCAAAATAAGCAAGCCTTGGTTGGGGGCCAGGGGGCTGCCTAGGGCCCCAGTGAGAGTCCAGGGGGCGAAGCCCCCTGAAGCTCTGGCGCGTAGCCTTTTATAGGTTGTTTCTAATTGATTTTAAGGAATGCAATTAACTTTTATTTTCATACTACATTTTCAAAATACAGTGGCAGATCCAGGAATTTGAAATAGAGCTAGGCCCAGGTAGGGGTGTTTACAGATGGAGCCCCACCATGGTTGGGGCTGCGGTAGAGAAAATGTATGATTATGGCACTTCTAGTTGGCCGGAAATGCCGGGCACTCTCAGACTAAATTTGAATCATTTTCATTTTTTCTCTCCGGGTTACTTGAATTTGCCACTGAAATACTCATCATAAAAAGTTTTAAAAATTATCCTGGTAATCATAATTATGCCCGCTTATATTATATTTTGTGCAAACTAACATTAATAAAAATAATGATTTATTATCTACTGATTAGCTTGTACAGTACTTTTAAAATCAATCAAGAGGTTTTTCCTTTTTGAATTTCACTTAGTTCGCATTTTGATTTCACAAACATGAAGGTGATTTACTTAATTTATCATTATCAGTGGCGGCTCCAGAAAGGCGAAATAGAGGGGAGACAGGGAGGGAATTTCACAATTTGGGAAGCTAGATTACCTCAGCCCCACGATGGTCTGAGCTGAGGTAAGAAAATTTATGATTATGGCACTCCTAAATGACCTAAATTATAATTATAATTTTCCGGTTTTCCCCCCATTTTTTTTAATTTTGAAAAATTTAAGGGCTGTCTCTTATACACATCTAGATGTGTATAAGAGACAGATTATATCCACCACTGATTATTATGACGTCATTGTGAGATTGCATCAACGTAACACTGGAGTTTGTAAACTCGTGGTATCACTAATTAAATCGAAATAGATAGGCCTGTCCGTGTAAAAGACTGTATAATTATTGTTTAGTAACAGCTATATAAAATTCAATTGACTAACTCTAATTATTTGAAATTAGGAAAAACAGGAACCTATGTATGCAGATAATATTAAACACTAGTTTATGCGTACGGGTCATAATACTGTAATATACAAAAGGAATAAATCGTTTATAGTAGAAATCGTGCACTTTTGAGTTTGTAAAAATATTGGCCTAATAAGATTACACGCTTCCAATATTAACAAGTAGGCCTACATCGTTTTTACAATAAATTTAGCCTCTGATAACACTTCCCGTTGCATCCATAAAATAGATGTAGTGGTTACTGAGACGGTTACGAAATGTACAAACAATTGCGTTTTTACTTGGTTTTGGTCCGGATTTCTTTAAAAGTTATGAAATCTTAGTGCATTTCATTATTAAATCAAAATTAAATTTTTAATTTTTCAAAAATTGATTCAAATTTATAATGGTTGCCCTCTACATGCAAACAATAGAGACTTGAGTAGGAGAATACTCAATATATATTAAACAATAATATTGTTTAATATATACAAATTAAGCAACAAACTAAACGCCTAAATCTCATAACCCATAATAATTGTTTCATAATTAAAGTTAATTTCATAATAATGTAAATATTTACAGGTGGCCTATATTGATTTTTCTTTCGTACAATCAAAAAATAAATATTTCATAGTTTCGAACACACACGTGACACCCAGTATTACTACAACCGATAATATAATAGCGGCCATCTTCAACGCTAGGAGTATTGTAAACAAACTTTCTGAACTTGAACTGTTTATTGATGTGAATAAATGTGACATTGTCCTTGTGACAGAAAGCTGATTGAATGACTCCATTCTTGATCACGAAATTGTCTCAGATAATTTCTGCATTTTTCGCAATGATCGTAATCGCCATGGTGGAGGTGTGTTTATTGCCGTAAGATCTTCTCTCCATCCAATTGCTGTTTCTTTTAACCAACATTCACTGAAAATAACATGGGTTGAGATTCAGACGAAGTTCGGAAAAATCCTCTTTGGTTGCTGTTATAGACCTCCAAATGCCTCAGTTCATTGGCATGATCAATTACAGGATTGCCTTGATGAAGTTGTGTCAGTAAGCTGGAAATACATGGCAATATTCATCACTGGAGATTTCAATATACCTTTTACTGTCAATTCTGTTCAACAGGGTCAAGCTAAGACTCTTCATGATAACTTCATCAACCTTGATATGTATCAGATTATTAATTTCATTACTCGACCTAGTAGTAGGCCTACCATTAATTATTCATCAGAGGGAAGCATTATTGACCTAGTTTTTACAAATAGAATCGATATTGTAACAAATGTCGAACAACTCCCTCCACTCGCCTCCAGTGATCATAACTGTATTCTTATGACAATTGCAACTAGTTTTTGTTCTGGATCAGAATCTCGATCTACGTGGCAATTTTCTAAAATGAATATCGAAGGCCTTTTTAACTCATTATCATCCGTCCCTTGTCTAAATTTTTTCTGATGATATTAACAAAATCTGGGACACTTTCTGTGATTATTTTTTTACTGCTTTACATGATAATGTACCCACTGTAAAAATTAGGGGCAAGAAACGGCCTCCGTGGATTGACAATAGGATTGTCCAACTTAGTCGTAAGAAAAAGAGACTCTATAAGGCTGCAATTAGAGACCCTGACAATATTAATAAATGGAATAAATACAAACGTTGTCGTAATCCCTTAAAATATGCTGTTAATAAAGCCTATAATAACCATTTTGTTGAAATTTCTCATAATGTTCACATTAATCCTAAGAAATTTTGGTCATTTGTTAAAGGAAAACGTTCAGCGCAATTAACTAGTGGTTTTATTATTGATAATAACACAGTAACTGATCCTCAAACAATTTGTCATTACTTTAATCGTCATCTTCAATCTAATTTCAGTTCCAATGACACGACTATTTTACCTTATCCTAAGTTATTTTGTAATGACCATATTGGTTTCTCACCTTTAAGTCTTATCTCGACCAATGGAGAAGAGTTTTTTAAGATTAATATACAGTCATTCAAACAATCAAAATCCTCCGGCCCTGATGGCATAAATGCTTTTATGCTGAAAATTACAGCCCCTATAATATCCGATACCCTAGCTCAAATTTTTAACATTTCCTTAAAACAGGGTGAGCTTCCACGAGCGTGGAAGCAGGCTAATGTGGTGCCAGTCCCTAAAAGCGGCAATCCTTCTAATATCTCCAATTATCGTCCAATCTCCTTGTGCTCCTCTGTTAGAAAGGTTCTTGAGCGTATTGTTGCTGCAAGACTTTCTAACCATATTTATAATCTTGGTATTTTATCTAATTGTCAGCATGGTTTCCTTCCTGGAAGATCATGCGTTACTCAAATCTCTAGCGTTTTTAATGACTGGGCATCAATTCTTGATAAGCGCAATCCTCCAAGAATTGATGTTATCTTTTTAGACTGGGCAAAAGCCTTTGATCAGGTTCCTCATCTTGGCCTTGTACAGAAATTACATGGTTTTGGTATTTGTGGTCCTCTTTATAATTGGTTTTGTTCGTTCCTTTCTGAACGTAAACAAAGGGTTATTTTTCAAGGATTTTCTTCTGATTGGTGTGATATTTCATCTGGAGTCCCATAGGGCTCTATTTTAGGTCCTTCATATTTTTGTTAACGACCTACCTAATTGTGTTACGTCATCACTTGCCCAATATGCTGATGATACAATTGTTTATCGTCCCATATTTTCATCCAATGATACCATTTCTCTTCAATCTGACCTTAATCATCTACTTTCATGGAGCGCCAAAAATAATATGGCTCTTAATGTTGATAAATGCAAAACAATGCATATTACTCGGAGTAACCGTGTTGTTAATACTAAATACTTTTATGGAAATCAGTCACTGGATACAGTTAAAACATACAAATACTTGGCTTTATCATTTCTCATAACCTTTCTTGGAGCGCACATGTTATGATTACTGCTAAGGCCTCAAGAGTTTCTGGTTTTATAAAAAGATTTGCCCGATGCAATAACCCCGTTTCCCTGATGTTACTTTTTAAGACCCTTTGTAGACCTATACTTAAATATGGAATCCCGGCAAGGTACCCTTTTCAAATTAATCACATTGATTCTCTTGAAAAATTTCAACGCAAGTTTACGCGGGCTTGTTTTAATTATGATCCTACCTTTAATTATGCTGAACGTTTATCCCTCCTTCAGATTCCACTTATTTCTGACCGTTATAAATACCTCCTTCTATCTTTTGTATTGTCTTGAAAATATGATATTGAACCAAATCTTCTTCCTGTTGTTAATAACCGTCATCTGTCTGATTTTAGATTTAAGATCCAAATTTTGCTAGAAGCAATTGTTATAAATTTACTGTTTTTAATTATTTTCCTTATTTATGGAATGACCTACCTCCAAATATTAGGGAATGTGCAATTAATTCTACAAAATTTAAATATGTAATTAAGCAATATTTTTTTAAATTAAATCATATTAAATTAATTAAATTATTTTTTTTACCTTAACGAAATTGTAATTCTCTTTATAATATTTTTATTAACTTTTTATATTGTACATATATTGTGAATTTTTCAGATTTTAATGTTTGACTTTTTAATGTTTTGGAGAGCCTTTAGATAGTGATTAAGTTCGCTTTTAGGTAATCCTCAGGCTTTTTGTTTTTTGTCATTTGTTTCTCTTATCTATTGTACTGTATTATCTTGCCTGGAAATAAATAAAATAAAAATAAATAAAATAATAAAGATTATCATCTACATCAATCCTAAGCAAAATATGGAAAATTGATCACGGACATAATTGTAAATGAACTGAATACACTAAAACTGAGCGAAGCAAACTTGCGGCAATATTTTTGAGCAAGCTGTGGAATAAGTCATCGAAACCATACAAACGTTAATTTTAGTAGATATTGAAAAAGATTTTAACACAATGCATGGAGAAAATCTATTGAATGTCTTGGTGAGCTATGGAATCCAATTAATTTTAAATCCTTGCAATCTTTATTTCATATTATATGTTAAGCTGAATAAAAGCAAATAAAACTAAATCATATTTTGAATGAAGATAGTGTGTGCACATGATTGTAAATCAAATTTCCCTTTTGATGTTCCATAGGTGGAGTGGACTCAGAATGGTTTACGGCTAGAGTAAAGGAATGTTGTAATGTCCGGAGTTACTGATTGAAGTTTGGCGCGAATATATTCTAAACTCTAAACACAAACCCCCACCCCCACAGATAAGTAGACATGAAGCAAAAAAAAGACGCTTTCGTCTGAATTATTAAAACATACCTGGGAGCACTCCTAATACATGCATATCACCACCGTCTTTGAACAGGAATTTGCAATGTTGAGGATTCCCCTCTGGTAGTTCGATGTGGTCAGCCATGCCATCGTCTTCGGCTTGAGAATAATGCAAGTTTGTAAACAGAAAACATGCAGTTAGCACATACCCGTACTTGAACATACTTACTGTAGATCGTAATGAATAGTCATGGACGTAAACGCAACAATTTATATAGAGACCAAAACACTTCCTGTTACTACAAGTACAATTTCACGGAAATCTCAGATTGAAATCAGCGCTAAGGAAACCGGCCAAAATTGCTGCAGTTTTTGGAAAGAATTTAACAGGTAACAATTGCAAAAGTGAAAAAATGCACTTTCGAAACGACCAGGCACAGATGAGGTGAATTTTGGTGCAGAGACTATGGAACCAGACAGTTTTAAAGCATTGGCAGATGAATAGAATAGGAACATGAAGGATAAGTACGAAAAAGAAAGTTTTGTAAATAAGCTTTGGCTTTAGATTGTAATTATAAACATAGTTTCTATGATTACACTACTTCATTTTCGGTATTGAACTTAAGCTAAGTATGGCTGATCTGCTATCATTGTAACAATGAATTACGAGTTGACCTTGCTATCCTTCTTACAACTACATTCATCTTAATTTACATCCTCTTTCGAAGAGAACAACTAGATCTTATTTCATTTCATTTATTTATTCGACTATTAAAAAAAAACACAACGAAAAACAACAAAACGATGGTCAGGGACAGCTAAAGCAAACTCAAAGAGTCAGCTGGCCCTTAAATATAAAGGAACATAAATATTGCACACAATAGAAACTGATATGAAATATAAAAAGCCCTACACAATTTAAAGAATTTATAATTATTCAATATTGAGCGTTTCTTAAATATTACAAAAATATGAGATTAAATAATTAATTAATTAATAAGGAATTTATTGAATTATTACGGTTTATGTACAAAATTTAATAAATATTAAGAAAACATAAAAAAATAAAAATAATTAATTATTGATTTAAATTACATATTTACAGTTTTAATTAAAGATTACAAAAATATATTAAGATTAATTTACAATAAGAAGTACATTGCATATTTAAAATTACTTTAAAATTTCAAAAAAAAAAATTTAAAAAAGGCCTAAATAAATAAATAACATTTTAAAAAGTACTGATTGAGTTTGAATACAAAATGTATAAAAATGTACACTATGGTCCCTATTGATAAGAAATTTACGAACTTTAGATAGAAAACAAGGAAGTAAGACACGAACAGCTGAATTTTGTATTTTTAAAATGTTTCTTTGGCTATGACTTGGACCTATTATGACTTCTTCACGTTCGCTTCGCAATTCTGACCGTCTCAACTCGCTGACAAACATTGCACTGAACTGAAACCTACAGTCGAACTGCTCCCATCCTAACGTTCAAACTCACAATATCAATTTTTAGGCAAGCCTTACGTATGATTATGAGCCTCTGTTTGTCAACGACTTTGACCCCGCCGGCACATACACATGGGTCACAAAATGTTTTTGTCCATTATTAATGTAAAATTGTGTAATTTTGTTTGTTGAGTTATATTTTCTCACCTGTAATATTAATTTGTTTGCCGGTGGGTCATGTGCATTATGAGAACTTGTCGGTTTAGAGGTGCTTGCATCAGTTGACACGTTCTATCACTGGGATTTCTTATGTTTCTCTATGGTTTCAGTGGAAAGTCGCTTAAAATCAATAAGATAAAACAATAAAGTAGGCCTATGTTCACTCCTTTTCTCGCAATTTTAATAATAATAGCACAGGCCTACAGTGAGTTTGGTGTAGAACAGGCTCATCTCTTACGCGCTGTCTTTGATTGGTGGTAGACCTACAGGCATCTCACCAATTTAGTAAGCATTCCCATATTATTAGTGAAGTTGAGTTGCACAAAAATTTCACAGGTATCGGATTTCCGATTTATGTTTCAATCTTATATTTCTCAAATTTCATGTTTCGATGGTCTTATGGTGTTTCCAGGCTCTTATGTTTTGTCGAGGCTCTTATCTTTTGAGAGTCTTTGTGAGTTTATATTTCAGGGTTTTTCTTTTGTAGGGTACGGTATTGTTTTGTAGGATTTGGAGGTGCTATGCTCTCAAGTTTTGAGACGCTTGTTGAAAAAAAAGTTTAAATATTTCTTCGTATTGTTAAAAAGGTTTATAGACACTTAGTACATTATCATCTTTTAATATAATTATAAGCAAACACTTAACATTTCAGTTTTGTATTATACAGAAACTAACAATTTAAAGAAAAGCCTTTAAACTTGTGAAGAAAATCTTTGTAGTTGAATATTTCCTGTTTCATATCTTTAACGTTTTATAAATACTATATTTGTTTTCACTTAGTTTCTGTTCGATTTTGAATTAATATTATTTATATTAGTTTTGCACCTAGACCTTTTCTTTTATAAGAACAAAATAAGAATCCGGGCCCCCACATTTTGGCAGAAAATGTCTATGCAGATTTTTGTATGATCAGAAAGAAATGCAAGAAAAGGGTGTCCCCATCCCCACTTCGAAAAACGTTCCACTGGCCCTAAATTGAACCTAATTTATGTACAGTATATCTTATTGTGTTAAGTTGCCGCTTCATCTGTAACTCTATAATTAATAAACAATAATATAAAACATATACTATGTATGGACCTAAAAAAACAACTGGAGAAAATCAATGTTTCGACCAACCCTTATATGGACTGAGCTGAGAAAATAAGTACAATACTGTTTGTTCGGAAGTGCTAATCAAATTTTTGTTTCCTGTCTCATGGTATTTTTTTTTGTGTATTTTAAATACGTTGTTGCTTGCATCCTGTATGGCCCTGGGAATGATTTGCTACCACCATTCATTGGTTAATTCAATAATCAAACTGGCACAGACGGAAAAAATAAAGGACGAAAACTACAGTCATACATACACATAGTGTGTATATATATATATATATATATATATATATATATATATTTCGCTAATAAATATTTCTATGTCTCCTACAAGTCAAAGTATCGTAGCAGTTTATTGTGTGCGTCTAATTATTCATTTATTCTTACGATGAGACATACGTGGATCCAAATCTTCAACTAAGAGACAGCATACACACACATACATACACACTAAATATCAAGTAAAACACTATAGATATATTAATATATCCACACATACAATATGTAATATATAGAATATATAATATATACACACAAAAGCTTATCAGTAAGAAAAATATCTAATCTTCTACTATTGTATTACCCCTTTATTATCAATTGTCAAACAGAATTCTGTTTCGATTAGTATCAGCACAAGCAGCAAAACAAAATTAAATTATTTCTTGAGACCCCTGTCAATCAATCCGGCAATTGCTATGTTAAAAAAGTTGTTGAAACATTTCTCAATACATTGTCCACTTTACAATGAAGCATTAAACACTGTGTTATTAGTTACAACCTATTAATTTCAGCTTTTTAAATCATGCAATGTCCACTGTACCATACATGTTGATTTTAAAAATGCTAATATACTGTTGTAATATTTAGCGTTCTTAATTTCCTTTGAAATATCTGAGCATTTATTGCAGTTAAAAAGTAATATACAATATTGCAATAAAGAACATAACAAACTGGAATACTAGTTTCTGGAATATTTTTATTGAAATTTGATATTTATATAGCATTTCAGCTTAAACCATAAATGTACAATAAAGGCTATTAAATGTAATTTTGGTTTATTTCAATATTTTTCAAACCCTGAATGTGCAGGTGTTTTACAACTAATGTTGGAAGAAAACATAAAAAAACAGTCCTAAACATAACATAATGGAATAATTGATTATCTGTGCTTTAAAATATTAACAATTTATTTCTCATAACAAAACCACAAAAAGTAAACAATATTAATGAAAATAAAATTTTTTTAAAAACCAAACAAATGTTAAATTCTAATCAGGTTTAAGCGAGGAGAAAATAACTGTGGAATCGTGGGGCATGCCACAAATGGTGGGGGTATTGCCATTGCGGCTTGGAATTAAAAATCTTTTCAAGCTTAATTAGTTGAAACGTAAGAACTATCACAATGCTTTGGTTAGTGAAGAGCAAGTATTTATATGGCCAAAAGCGTCATCAGCTATAGCGCCAACTGGAGCTCAAAATGCTCAAGATAATAGTTTTCTTTGGTAATAGTTCCTAATTTAAAAGTTATTACTGTAATAAATCAATGTAGTTTTTCATGAATTCAATTTGGGTATAATACTGAAAGTAATTCACAGCAAATCTCTCCCAGTAAATTTAAAAATTAAAATTAAATTAGCTCAAATGAATTTAAAAGAAAAACAAATAAAAATCTTTAAAAATTCACAGAATTAAGGTCTATTAAATAGCACCACCTCAATGACCCATAATTCTTATCAGTTAAAAGAATATTTATATATTATTGAATACATAATTGATTTTGGCACCTGGGACAGTGGTTTTGTTTTTCAGGACAACTAAAATGACACATAAAATTTGTTTAAACAAAAAATCCACTTGACCAATAAAAATCCATAATTATTGCTACAAAGAATTAGTTATCAAAGAACTAATTGGCAAATGTCTCTCCCATTGGTATCCAAACGTTCTTCACCTGAGTACACTGGTACAAAAACTCCTCCCCCTGCCCTTGTTCTTTGTTAGTCCAGTCCCGGGCCACACCGTAGTCAACCCACGTACGCTTCAGATTCTCGGCGGAGATGTGTTCCACATACTTGGAGCCGAAGGTCGTGCCAAAGTACCACATGGCCTGGATGTCTTGATGCTCTGCAAGGTATTTTGTGAGGTGGGAATGATCGCCTGTTACGATGTTTACCACACCAGCTGGTAGATCCGATGTTTCAAAAACCTGGTGTAAGAAAATAAACAGGTTGAACTTTTAGTAGTTCTTTTTAAAAAAAATTAATGTAGGGTACTAGTCCGGTGGTAAGGTCCGACTTTTTTTATGGCTATGTTCTCACACAGCAGCTAACGGTTAGCAGGATCCGGATCCTGCTGACCGTTAGCTGCCGTGCGTCCAGGCGGGAAAATCCCGATCCGGATACCAACAATATGATGATCGAATCACTGGCCAATAAGAAACTGGAAATTGTAAACGCGTATGTGTGATTGGTTGATGATAGAAATGCCCTCAACTTGCTAACCGATAGCACTTGCTAACCATTAGCGTATCCGGATACCACTAACGGATCGGGCGTTCTCACGCAGCTCCCGATCCGGATACTAGGGCTCTCGTGAGAACCAGGCTTATACTTTGTTTATTGAACCTGTAAACCTACAATTTTATTTTTTGCCCGTTGCTGCCTTAAAATCTCCAAAAATAAAAAAAAAATAAAATAAAAATAAGATATTTTTTTTTGGCAAAACCATTCACTAAATAAGAAAACAAAATTTTTAAATTTTTTTCTGACGATCTTAAAATAAATAACTTCGCGAAACAAGGTATAAAAAAGTCTTGCTTAACAAGGTACTGTTCATCACACAGGAAGTGGAGCTGCTCTGAAGAGCACAACGCAACAAGGTGCATGCAAAAGATTTAATTTACAGACACTCCGCTTAGACTGCCACTAAAGGCCAACTCAGACGGCGTCATACAACGCAGCTCGACACGATTTGTTGTCGCGTCGGGTCTGGGTGAGTTAAACTCAGACGCGATGGTTTGCTTTGGGGCCAGTCGCGTCGTAGAATAACATGTTTAATATTTCTCACGACGGCTCAAGACTGTCCCCGACGATGAATCGCTTCAAGCTGCATCGTACGGCGCTGTTTGAGTTGGCCTTAACAAATCAGCAGATGTCTTCAAGCGTTCACAGACAGCCTGCGCAGTTTGTGCCTGGCTTTAGTTGCGAGAGTTGAGAGAATAAAAAATAATTTATTAACATAGCACTTCAAAAACAAACATCTTAACGACCAAAGCAGTATGGTAAATAAATATTGACACATCAGTAGTGCCTCTCTCTTATGTTTCAATAATGTAATAATATTGAATTGTCTAATCATTTATTAAATTGGCTATATCAAGATACCCACCAACTATAATTTATAAGTCCTGTAAAATTAATAAGGCCGGCTTGTAGTAATCTAAAAATCAGGTAGACCATATTAAATGACAAATAAATATATAACAATTACCTGATAGAAATCTAAGGCCGCTATGGGATATTTTTCACTGGGTATGACGACAACCGTGTTACCCCTCACGACTGCTGGGGCAAACAGGGACACAAATGATAGGAGGGGGTATTGATCTGGACATGCAATACCTATCACTCCCATAGGTTCATGGATCTTGACTGTGGCACCATAAAGCAGGGTTTCCTGTAAGGTAATAAAACAAAATAATATAAATTATATAAAGCCTGGAAGCTGTCCAAATAAGAAAATGCATTTAACTTCAAGGGGGTGGTAAATTTGGTCGAGACTATCGAAACCCTGGTTTCCAGAAAATCGCTACATATTGTCAGCAACTTTCTGTAGCGTCAGGTATATGTAATGTATTGATTGCTGAAATGCCAGTTTAGTGATTTTATGGATAGATGACTTTATACATGCATTGCGGCATCTACATATACTGCATGCAGCTAAAGCTCATGTCTTTCATCAAAACACTTCATCATTAATTGACAATGATAACTTACTTGAACTGTACCACCATACTTGTCAGCATATGCTCCCCAGTAAAACAACCTCCTAATGGCCAAGTCCACCTCCTGTAGAGTCTCCTCTTGAGTCCTACCTGTTGCATTTGCCATTCTCTTTGAAACCTCGTCCCGTCTCAATTCTAGGTTCTCAGCCATGTAGTAGACAATCTGAGCCCTGTTGTGTGCAGCTCGTTTTCCCCACCTAAAAAAAAGTTTGCAGCGATGTGAAAGTTGTGAGTTACTACAATGTGTGTCAGACCCTTCCTCCTTCATAATGTATATTGGGCTTGCCATGCCAAAGCAAGCATCAGTGACCAAAACAGGATAATTGACTTTTTAATATAATTATAATAATAAAATAAAGTTCTTAACCGTTCTGAATCGACAGAACAAGTGGTTGTCATTGACTATCACAGTATTTGACAAGCTTCAACAGTGCAAAACAAAAGAAACACCCTAGAGGGAAAAAATATGTTAGCTGACCTTATATTTCACTTTCACGTTGCTTGTTTTCTATTTTAGTATTAGCTAACCGTCTAATTACTTACTTATCTTCTCTTTTACTTTCATTCTATGCTTCCTTATCTTTCCGTGATTCCTATTTACCTACCTTTTCTTTCTTTCATCTCCCTTTTCCTTTTAATTACCTTTTCTTTCCTTTCCCCTTTCTTTCTAATGCCTCCTTATGCATTACTTCTTTAGCTTAAATTACCTTTGTAATATTTCCTTATCTTTGTTCTTTTTCTTTGTTTCCTTTGTAACCTTGATTTTTCTTGTATTTACTTTATTTCTTTTCTTTCCTTTTGTTTTCTTATGCTTTTTCATACATATCTCATTTTATCTTATCTTATCGTTTCTGTCATATCCTGATTCTTTCTTTCTTGTCCTTTTCTTTCTTTTTACCATTTCTTAGGTTGCTTTGAATAACCTTTCTTTTTCTTTCTTATAATTCGTTCTTTTCATTCCTTTTTCTTTCTAATATTTACTTTTCTTTTCTTTCATTTTCTTTCTTTTGGTTTTAGTTCTTTCTTTTCTTTTCTTTTATTCTTTCTCTCTATTTTACTTTCCCTAGTACACTATAACCTTAAAAATTATTGGGCATTTACTGCAATTGACTCACTATTGCCAAAACAAAGTATTACAGCATCCCAGAACTAAAGTATACAATACTGCCACATTCATGCTAATTACTCAGTTTAAAATTTAGCAACAGCTAACTGGCCCGGGATTTATCAATCTTAGCTTAGCAAATGTCTTAAGTCAAGAAAGTTAAGATGTCCCTAATAAATATCTTAAACTGATTTATTACCCAATCTTGGCAAATTCTTGGCTTAAAAATCGTCCTTAGATGGCGCCAACGTACAATCGACTTTATAATTTTAAGCAATTTTTAAGCTAAGCAATATGGGATAAATTTAATTTAAAATCAGAATAATTAATATAGTTATATTAATTATAATATCAGTATTATACTACACAACATTTTATTTAAACATTTTTAATTTTTAAAATTAAATCCAAATGAAAATACCTCTTTTCCACCATCTCTGCCATATCCACTATGCTTATAACCTCCAAATCCAGCCGCAGCATCAAACATGTTATGTGAATTAATCCAAACAGCTCCTGCTTTGAGGCTAAGTGCCACTTCCATTGCCAAGGAAATATTCTCAGTCCAAACACTGGCTGCCAGTCCATAATTTGTGTTGTTGCCCATGGCGATAGCCTCCTTGGCAGTTCTGAATGGCAATACAACAAGTACAGGACCAAATATCTGATAAGGCAAAGAATACAGAAATACTTTACCATGTATTTTGACAGCTATTGCAGGCAATTATGTGTTTCTGTTACTTCAGCTGTGCCTAAATAAAAATTGAACACTAGTATCATAATTAAATTTATTTATTTATATATATTATTTCAGAGGGTAGTTTCCCAGTTCAGGCCATTGCGATTTCAAAGTTATGACTAGTTCAACACTTCAGTCTCGCAACCATTAACACAATGCGATGGCTTGTACTCAAGTTTTAAGATTTTAAAAAGTTAAACATCCTACCTCTTCCATGACAACAGTGGATGACGTTTGAACTTTGGTGATAAGAGTGGGAGGGTAGTAACAACCTCCATTGGGCAAACACCCAGGCACCTGGTAAACCTGTATAGAGTATAGATAGAATAATGAATTAAAAGTTGGTATGTCTGGAGTAGAATCTTAGTGTTTTTTTCATTAAAATACTAGCCTTTCATTTAGGAGGCTGGGTTCAAATCATGAGAAGAATTTGCAGGGTTGTAGGTATAGAAAACTAAATTTAGTTGATAGACATTTTAAGGGTGGGTGGGGGATGACATTTGTAAACTCTAAATAATAAGAGTGGATTTAAAGGATGGGCAAGGGGTTAATAAAGGTGGGTGGAGGGCCATGAAATTTGAGACTGGGTGGAAAACTTTGAAGCTGGTTGACCCCGTCCACCTCCTCCCACCATCAATACATCTCTGTATTTGTCCTCAACCAAAGTTTCATAATAAGACTTAATAAGCAGTGGAGTTGTTTTTACCTGTGTCTGAGGATTCAAAACCAAGCTCCTGGTATTTAAGGACACGAATTTTAACTACCACGCTACGGATCCTCACCATTTCCATTTTGTAATTGGCAAGCTGTAATTGACATGTTGACAAGGACGCGAAGCCCCGCCCACAAAGTCACGAAAACCTTAGACGAGGGCAGCTGGACTTGCCGAGTTGGCGTAGATTTTCTTTGCTATCAACCTTCTTTAAGAAAGAGAATTCAGGGTAGGCGGTATGCAAATGAATCATATATTCATAGTGTTAATCTATTTCATGGAAGGTGGCGGGGAAATTGTTGTAAAAGCCTCTGTATTTCACTCCCAAAGGAAGAGGGAAAAGCCGCATTCAGTCAACCTTGTTGTCGACGAAGGCCAAGTCAATGATGCGCACTGCTTGTGTAAATCTGGGTATCTATAACCAAGCATAGACATCTAGGCCTAGGTTCACGTTATGTTTCGCGTTTAAACCAGCTGTCTAAGGAAATTAAAATGTCCAAGAAAAAGTTTTTTAACATGACTATAAATGAAGCTCGCTGATTAGTCGGTTTATCTGTCAATCAAATCTCGTCGAGATGTTAATTGGATGTACTGCACTTGTTTCACACTCAAGAACATTATCTCTAAAACAAACTTGTTAGTGTCTACTCTCTTAACTACAAACCCTCTTACTCATTACAGTAAAATATATCACTGTTTTAATAGATGTAAGCAAATACTGACCTCTGCACCTTCCTTCCTGGCTGCTTCAACATAATCACTGATAGACTTCTTCTGAGAAGGGTCAACAATAGGTCCCATGTCAATAGCTTTGTCCAATGAGTGGCCTAGCCTGAGGTGCTTCATTCTTGCTTTCAATTTGTCAACAAGCTCCTCTATGACTGTCTCTTGCACAAGGAGGCGAGACCCAGCACTGCACACCTGCACAGGTATTAAGAAAAATATTTTAGGTACTTAATGCAGCCCAATCTAAAGAATTACTATAAATCCCCCAAAATATAGATTTATATTTATATAAGAACAAGTGTGAGACCTAGGTACATTCATATACTGTATATGTGACTGGTTCTGGCAAAATCCACCGTTTGTCGCAATTCAAAATTTCCCACAAGCGGCCACAACAGAATCAGAATTTTAAACATTTTCACATTTTTGAATTTTATAAAAGAAGATCTATTGAAGAACATTTCTGAAAAATATCAGTCACTAAATCTAACTGGAAAGTATTATTAAAATTGATTATAAAATACAAATAATAATAATACACTATTGATTTTAGAATCTTTGGAAGTTATTTTCTCAAACCCCACATTGCTGATATCCAACGAATTAAATATTCAAAACTTGACTAATACTCAAACAAATTTCTATAAAATAAACACTATTTAAAAGAACAATTCATGCAGACCCAAAACACCCAAAAAAAACAAGACCCAAAACATACAAAACCAGAGCCTTGCAGGCGTCAACGTTCCTATGCATGATACACGACTTTTAGAAGTATATATACGTGTATATATATATATATATATATATATATATACATATATGTATATATATATACAATAGCATCGACAATGCCTTCCACTGTGCTGTCAAGATCTGCGGAATCAAACACCACAACTGGAGACTTACCCCCAAGTTCCAGGGATAATTTCTTGCCTGAGCCGGCAGTCAATCGCCTCAATATCTGTCCAACCTAAAGAAATGTGAAAAACATTTTAATTAAAATGAGTGAGGTGAACGTTATATAATTCTTTTTGAAAATTAGATTTTACTTGTATTGGCTTTTATAAATACTAAATTAAATCAGAAATACACAACAGATAATGACTGAGATAGACACCCACACACATGCACTAAACACAAACACATGGTAATAAATGTATGTACCTGTGTAGAACCAGTGAAGCCTACTTTATCGACCTTTGGATGAAGGGCTAGCTTACTGCCAAATGCCCCATTGCCAGTAACTACGTTGAAGACTCCTGGTGGAAGGCCAGCCTCGGCACATATCTCAGCAAAGAGCAAGGCACTGAGACGTGTATAGGTTGCAGGCTTCAGCACCACGGTGTTTCCCATTGCAAGAGCCGGGCACACTTTCCATGTCAGCAACATCAGAGGAAAATTCCATGGAACAATAGCACCGACAACGCCTTAACAAAGGAATGTGAAAATAAAGAACACTGTTAATTTAACATTAATTTTGACAACTGAAAATATTTTGAAATGACTGTCATTTCATTTCATCTGTAGTGCCAAAAAATACAGCATATAATTTTTTTTTTTCTTTTTAATTCCTCCATTTACAACAATGTGGTCTTAACTGAAGTTATTCTCTCATATGTTTAACATAATAAACAATATGAATATTTTTTTTAAATGGCATTAGTAATTTGTTTACTTACCTACAGGTTTCCAGTTGCTCATTTCTGAATCCATCAATTCTGCCCATCCTGCATGATGATAAAAATGACGCACAACTAACGGAATATCACAGTCTCGGGTTTCCCTGATGGACTTGCCGTTGTCGAGAGATTCAACTACGCTGAGTAACCTGTGGTGTTTTTGTACATGTCTTGCAACACTGGTGGATTATAAAACAAATATATTTTAATACAAAATTTGAACTACAAAATTATTGTGTTTAGTATCTACTGTTCGGAATGAGCAAAGCATTTTCATCTGTAATTGACCAAGTCTCCCCTAGAGGCATCAACTCAATAGGGACACCACATAATCTGTCTCGCTTATATTATTATTTATTATTTTGTGTTGTTACAAAGAAGCCCCATTTAACACAACATCACAAGATAAGGAACGACTTACTGGCCAAACATCAAATGGAGGAGGGATGCTGGAAAAGAAATGAAGAGGGAAACAAATGGAAACAGATGACCTAGTAAACACAAACTTCTAATAATTTGTGTTTAATGGCATGCTCTGACAGGAGTAGCAAAACATACTAGGGGTTCTAAGTTTGGAGAAACTATTTCCGGGAGTTCTAGTTAATGACATAGGGGAGGTGCTAGAAAAAGGGCCACGCCCACCTCAGTCCCAGCATGGATGCTAAGGTGAGCAAATTTTTAAGAATAGGCACCGAAGCCCGAAAAAGGCAACGTTACACTGTAAATCTACTTTCCGAATCAGTTTTCTGATGAAATGATTGGTTTCTTAGTCATGTGGTAGTTGAAAAACCTATATTAGCTTCCTTTATACTAAATTTGATGGAGATGAGTGCATTTGCGGGAGATTTTTGCTTGCTCGCGGGAGTGTGGGAGATCGCTCCGATTTCCGGGAGACTCCCGCGAGTTCCAAGAGACTTGGGACCCCGATATACAAACCTTCTGATTAAAACAAAATTAAAAATTATTATAATTTGTTATAAAATGTGTGCAAACACAGGTCTACCTATAAGGTATAATAATATGAAATGAAAATATAAAGATAATTAAATACAGTATATTATTACAGAACTATCATAAAGAAAATCAATAAAAATGAACAACATGTACAAAAACAGGTACTGAAACATCTTAGGAGTTACAATTTGTGTTGAATGTCTGGATATGAATTGGTGAAGTACTAAGGTGATGTATGAATTCTGAAGGAGAATGTTGGCATACTGGATTACACCTCTACTAACTCAAATTTAATCAACGTACTGTAGCCCCATCATCAATAAGCAAGCATCATGTTAAAGCTGCTGCTTTATTTATAATTTAATAAAGAGAAATTGTGGTAGAAGAATGGGAGAGGATCAGAGTGGTGGAGAATGAGTTATTGATCAAAATCAAGAAATGTCTACGTTGGAGCTGAAAATTTATCAATTACAATAATTTCTACATCAAAGTGTTTAGTGCGGTATCCTTTGTTGGTGATTCAAAATGAAAAATGTGTTCTACTATACCTTTTGATTTGAAATTTAATTGAAGTGGATTGAATACCTATTTATATACAAATCAGAATTATTATCATATCTTGTTTGTCAAGTTTGTATTGATTTTCAATTGTGGCAAAGACAAGCCAAACCAGTCACTCGTCACAAATCGTGTTTCAGAGAAAATGGCCAAAACATGCTGGAATGTCAAATTTTAAAAAATCTATTTTATTGCACTAAACTAACCTTTATATATCTACACATCATTCTATGCTGTTATTTTCCCCATTTTCAATGTTAAAACAATATTTTTTTGGATTTAAAGATAGTTTCTGCATGAGAAATACCTGAAATCATAAACTTGGACGGTTAATTTCTCATATATTGTTCTTTAAACAGCTGTGTGGTTAAACGCTTGTAACTTGATAAGGAAATGTCTGATTTGAATGATTTTTTTACCATTTTATAGCTCTTATTTTACTCATTAACACTGTGTTAATAACTCAAAATCTATTTTTGCAACGAGTGACTGGTTTGGCTTGTCTTTGCCACAATTGTAACAATATCTGCGTGATATTTTTATACACTCTCATTACACATTCTGAGATTTTTAGGTCTGTCATAATAGAAAACCTAAAAATTAAATGAAAACATTGTAAATGTAAAATGTATTACAGTTTTTCTTTCTAATTTTTTATACTTGTTTGAGGGCCGCTTTTATCAGCTTGCTGTTAGAGCAACTCTATAGAAACATTGTTGAAAAATATAAATACAAGCAACACAGTTTGTAAAATAAAGTAAAGAAAAAAATTATTTGATATACAAATATTTAATTTCAATGATGTTTATTGGAATAAGTTTAGATTTTACTAATAATATTAAATGAATCTAACTTAAATTTAAAAATTTGTACTTAAATAGTTTTCAAATATGGTTTTACCTTTAAATTAATTAATTTTATTAATTTTAGTATTCATACATCACAATTTTACTCCATGCCCAACTCAAAACTCCACATTCCATTATATTATTATTTCATGCTTGATTAAACAATAGTTTTATTTCTAGATTTCTAAGGATTGAACACCCATTAGGCTGTTATAACAGTAAATGCAGTCACCTCCTTATAGGCCATCCCATATCCTACTACTGTAGCAAGTTTGTACCAAATATTTTCAAAAAATCACATTTTTGCAACTCAATGATTTATTGATTAGGCAAGACTTTTTTTATACCACCATGTTTAGCAAACTCGCCACCCACAAATAATGATGATTCCAAATAAAAATAATATTTCTGCCAGCAAAAAATAGTTTTTCTTTATTTTATTACACATGCTGCTGCCTTGAAATCTCCAAAAATAAAATGTATTTAATTTCTTCCTAATTATATACATTTAAAGAATTTTAACCATCCCATTACTACACTGTTTATATTCAACAATAACATTTTAATTTTGGTGCAACAATCAAGCAGGACAAACCTGTAGAGGTATCGTGCTCGTACATCACATGACAACGTGCTCCAAGATTCAAAAGCTTTGCGAGCAGCCGTCACAGCAAGCTCTATATCTTCCTCCTCTCCCTGAATTGTTTCTGTAAGGACTTCCCCAGTGGCAGGCGATTTTGAAGTGTAAGTCTTCCGGCCGGCTGGCTTCACCCACTTATTGCCAATGAAATGACCAAAGCTTTTCTTATGCTTTTCCATCCATGCCTGGGAAAATAATTAACTACATGTTGTAGGCCTACTATTGTTTTATAAGCCTAGTGTTACCTAAAAATATAAATGCATGATATGGTCCTTGTTGAGTAGAAAGAAATTTGGATTAGGCCGAGGCCCATGGGGACCAATAACGGCTGCAGTGCAGTACCTACAGTATCATGGTCATTACATCGGGAGACAATTCCCTAATCTTTTGAACAGAGTAGCAACAGAGTTATTTTTTTGTCCATATGTTACATGTACTATACGCACAAAGAATCAATGGCTTAATGACAATGTCCCATCCGAGGCAATTAGAGCAATGTGTGTTATGTTTGGAGAAGTTCGGCATCAGCTGCATACCCACAGTCCATGGATCGCACTTGATCTCAAAGACTGAGAGTGACACCTCAAGAGATTACGAAAATGCTATCAATCTGAATGCATGCAAGAAAGAAAACTTTGATTTTAACTTTTCGTTGGTGAGGGCGCATTGCACCAGCGCACTCTGTTAAGCTCAGTTTCCATAGAATCGCTCGGGATGGTTAAAGCTGGTTCAACTTTTTTTTTTTCTCTTTCGTAGCAATTTCACCCACCTTTATTTCTATCTCTTTTTGTTACATTTTGATTTTTTTTTTCTGTCATCAATGACATTAAAGTATAAAAATTAAAACTAAGTTGCACTTAAAAAGGGTCAGTCCGCAATGGCTGACTGTAATTTTTTGAACTCATCTTTTAAACTTTTATTAATTTCTAAAAAAATACATTAATATATTCTTTTTCTTTTAGGTCCCAAAATGTAATTCATCGAATATGTTAATATACATCTCATTCCAAAATTGTTCTTACACACATGCACATGTATATACTGTATATACACAAACGCACATACATACACACCAATACCATATAGTCCTACTTATACATTTTTTTTATTCCAGCAATTCTAATTGTTTTTCTTTTACATACAAAACAGAACAGTAACGTATGGTTCAACTTTGCCGATTGCATTGCGGACGAATCAGGGTGACTTCCCGATTGCGTCAGGGAAGCTACAGTAGCAATGCACCCTGATTCGTCTGCTAATGCAATTGGCAAAGTTGAACCAGGTTCAACCTTCCCGACACAGCTGTCGCCGATAAGGTGAGCAATTTTATGGAAACCGAGCTTACCAAGAGCCTAGCCTATGCCCTAGGCTAGACAGACTAGACAGACAGGCTAGCGTTCTAAGGCTACCCTAACAAATTTCGCTAGTCTCTGGCAATTCCATGGACTGACTGAGGGCAGTAAATAGGCCAGGCCTAGGCCCTAGTTAGGCCAGGCTACGGCTTACGCTGAGTTCCATCCGAACCACAGTTCGATCCATACACTGCATGTCACGGTATCATTTAATCAGGTATAAGACATATACATGTATAATAATCACCTGAGCAGCACCTTCAGCTTCCGGAGCTGGTCCATAGCTCATACTTTCAAAGATTCCTGCAACGGAGCCAGGTCTTGCAGGAGATGATGTTGTTGACGCATGTGTACCGCTTGCTGCCATGTTGTCAAAATAGTTCTTCGCCAAAATGAACATTTTTTCAATGGCGCCACCAGACGTTGCGTAACTACTTCCGAAATTCTCCCCCACCCCCCTCCTTGGCCTATTCACGGAACACTCCTATGTTTCTTTATATCACAGTAATTACAGCAGTCTCAAAATATATTTTGATACCTTTTGAGCAATAATCTTAACCATCCAGGGATATCTTTTTGTTTGTAATAGAAAATAAAACTCAGGATATTCAGTACTTTTATGACTAGTTTATTTATGACAGTACACAAGCTTTCGTGCACACAGTGCACTTCTTCAGGTGAATCTTTTTGTTTGTTTTTCGTGTAATTATAGGATTTTAATCCATACCATAACATGCACACTTATTTCCAAGTCGTTAATCTAGTCATGTCATACATCCAATAGAAAGCCCAATATTAAACAAAAATTGCCTATCAAAATTGTATCATGGAATAATATTGGGAACATATACAAATTGACTTTTTAAGTTCAGTGCTGTTCTTATTTTTGGTATTGGCATTTTAATTGCTATAAATTAGTTCTATTTCATCTATTGTAACTCATTTTTATGTCAATAAAAAAAATTTATAAAGAATGTACTTATGTCATCGTTGTATGAAAACATGCCAAAAATCCCTATTTAAGAGGAAATTTTTGGTTAGTGTGTACGGTACCCCATCCCAGAAACTTGAAGTCAACTGAATTAATGCTCTAGAGATTTGTCATTAAAGATCACCTAAAACGACAATAAACAAAATACATAGCCTACAACATTCCTACAGAAAGAAAGTTATAAGACTTTATACACTTAAAATACAGTAAAATCGTATGTAGGCCTATCGTATCAGATGTCATGGATAATTGTGAAAAAGTTCAAATTGGCAGGACTGGAAGTGCTTAATATTAATAATGGAAGAACTCAAACACAAAGTAAAATATAATACAATGCGGGCGTAAATGACATGGATATGGTTACACCATGTTGTCGGACAAGGAAACTCATCTTTTAAGATCATTACAACAAGCATTAAAGGGACTCAAGGAGGGCATGAAATGGTTGAATTTAAGTAAAAATGATAGTAAAGGTGGAAGCACCAGAAAGCGAACGTAAGAATGTATGTAAACGCCAAATTCATAGAAACTACGACAATAAAAACACCATCAATATTTACGTGATAAATATAAACCGAAGCTAGCCGCGCAAGCTCGTAAGTTTCGTTTAGATCTACTGAGCGATCTGTAGGCCTAATTCGATAATAATAAATTTGTAATTGTTTATTATAATAATTTTAACAATTCTAAAAATGTGGTTGATATTGATAACTGTGCAATGCTATTTTTTTTGTATTATCATCTAGTTGAACATTGTTTTCGGTCGATTTTTTTCTCTCAGTATTTCTTTTATATATAAAATATTGATTTGTTACAGAGTGGGCACCATCTGTAGGACTACACTGAGTATAGCCCCAATTGGCTTATATTTTCTGTTACTTTGTTATATTTGTTTAATTATAAGGAGGATGCAGTTCACTTTAAAAACGTGTGCCACCGATCTGAAGGTGTACAGTATAGGGCCTATCTAAATAAATAAATAAAAATGAAAAATGCTTTTGTATAACCATGGAGGTATAAAATACCTCCATGGTATAACAACTGAAATAAAGAAAACGAGATTGAAATTTGTCTTGAGTACTACAATATTATTTAATTATTTATAGATAGATTCGATAAAATAGGCCTAATTACTACCTTTTCTTCATATATAATTTTAAAACAATTTTAACAATATTTTGTTGATTCATAAATGTGAATTTTTACGTCACGGGGCGTCGCGCTATTGCGAACCGATTTTCTTCGAATACAGTACACAAAAGTCCGTATTTTACAAGCAGCACCAAGAGTAGGTGTTTAACAAAACTAAAACGAAACATACTGTATTGACTTGCATCGATCGGTAGAAATCTGTTTCCGTTTGCTCATATATTAACTGGTAAATTTCTGTTATGTGATAAAGGTAGGCTTCTACGGCGCTTCTACAACATTCGTTTTGTTTTTCCAGCTTATTGGGTAACGATCCATTGTGTTTTTTAGATAAAATAAAATGTTGTCCTAGGCTTAGCCTAGCCTAGCTAGGCACTCTCAGTCTCAGGCCTTTCCTGGTTAACTTGGTGTGAAAATGCACATTATTTTAGGCCTAGGGCCTAGCCGCCTACTGCCATATAACATGATTGGTGTCTTTGGAATACGATGAGATAGGATGAAAACAGTTATTCAAGTACCATACCAGGATTACGGGACAGGATAAATTTACTTATTCTGCATCAAAATTAATATTTATTATATATGATGATAACAAATTCATATCATTCTTGGTCCATGGGTCAGGCATGCCTCATCATAGAAGGCAGCCTAGGCTCTGGCCCAGGTCCCATGGCATGTTAACTACTGTATTTGCCTAGCCTGTGCTACTTTAAGCTTAGCTTTGGTCGACTTTAATACATTCTTGGCTCATGGACAAAAAGAGTAGCAGTACATGAAAATCCTTTAAAATGCTGTGATCCTTGTTAAATCTTTTTTTTTTAACAGTATGTTGTTTACAAGTTTACTTGTTTCCCAAGAGAGTCTTCTGTAATCTGATCCTCCTGGGTATAGAGGCCAAGCAAAACAATGCTTATAGGCCCCTCGAAAAAAACTGAATATTTAAAATTTAACATAAGGCGCAAATTTAAGCAGATGGTCAGCTAAACGTACTTCAATTACAGATTTAAATAACAGTATAGGCTTAGGTAGGCCTAATTAATGTCGTTTAAATACTCTGTAAAGTAATTTAATTGCACTTAGGATACCTCAAAAACTAGCTCAAATTTGCGCAGAAAATCACTAGGAATATAGGTTCGCACAATCATAAATTACTGCATATAAATTGGTTAATATTAAGAGATAGGTTCAAGGCCTAATTAATTTTCTGCAAAATCTGGGCGAAAATCGGGCTTATTTTCTGAAATGCACGGGTGGATTACTAGGCCTAAATTTTTGTGCAGATCTCTGTGTTTCAGTTTTTTTTACGGAATCCGATAGATGGGGTAATTACCAACATGTACTAACAATTTGAACACTATATTCAGTCTGGACCATAAGTGTTTCGCTATTACATTGTGACCTATTCTCAGTTACCTCATATTGCACGGCGATACTGAAACCCGGTTATCACAGTTTCATTGAGTGAATAGTGCGTAAAAAAAAACCAAAAGTGAGTCACTTTCATTTTACTGTTATGGGTCATAGATTAGAATAAATATTTGGTACCATTGTAAAGCTAAGAAGATGTTTGTAGTTCTTGTAGTATTTATTACATGTCAATCTGATCACATACACACACTCAACGAGCTTCAGAAAAGTGTTAGAATTTGCTAAAAAGTTTGGCGGTGGCTGATACTATTTTTTCAAACCCCTGGTGGTCAGAGTGTTTAGATAAATATTGAAAAAAAAATTGCGCATCCTACTAATAAGTTAGTCTATTTCATTGAATTACATCCTTATGCGCTATGCTTAGGCTGATGTTTTGTAAAAGAATGTTCAGCATTCTCATCATGAAGCGAAAACAGATTGTAGCTTTCACATGTCGATTAATTTAGTTAGAGTGAGACAATCATTCTAAGAATAGCTGTCAACTAATTTCTTTGTTAAGAAATCCTTTTGTTCTAAATCTTCTACAAATTTCTTCTTTTCTTTTTTTAAGAAGAAACTATTGTGACCATGATAATTTGTTCTGTTACTACAATATACTACTATATTTTATATACTGTAGGATACAGTGTTAACTTGCATAAATATAATAATATTTATTTGTAATTTTTGTTGATTTATTTTTGAAAATGATATACAGGTAATGAAATGTTATTTTTTAAAATATATGGTAAATGAAAGATGTAAATATAGAGGAAAAAATTACAGAAAGAAATATAGGTACTGTACCATAGATGTATTATTACTGTAATAATTATATTGATTTTTTTTTTACACTTCTTCTTTGAATGTACTTAATATTTCATGGTATCCATGGCAATAGGCATGTACTTGTGAAAGCAATGTAATTGTAAAGGCTATTAATTCAGTGTAGCCAAGTACAGTTTATGCTTCTCTTTGTTGTGTAATAGTATGCATAGGCCTATGTATTCAGATTGTATCTGCCACAATACATACACATTCTCTTTGTTGGTATTACTGTATTTGTATGTATTAAAGATATGGTATGGAAAGAATTATGACAAATCTTCTTATCGTGTCCGCACACTTGTTATAAACTTTGTTTCATCAAGAGCTGACATAGTCTGTACACTGTAGCACAATCTTGTGTGTGGGTGGTGGTAGAATTAACCAGGGCTGCAACGAGGATGCATCTACTATGCCATCACTCATGTCTTGTAAATGATATTTGATCCTACTTCATGTTTTTTTAAACAGTGGTACTTGTCAATTTGACAGACTTCTGAAGTTCATAAATAACAAATTAATTTTATTCTTTGAGAATATATTAAATTAATTTAACATTTCAAAATATATCTGAAATCATCAGCTTATATGTTGTCAAGACTACAATTTTTAGTATTCACAAAATTACGTTTAATAACACTTATTGGCTAATTGGTAATTGTAAAGTATAGAGTTTTATGTATTTTATCCATGAAAACAAATCTCATAAATGAATGAAAAGATAGCCAAATTGGTGTTTGAGTTTCCTTTTTTTTTTCAAAAGCAAGCTTAGCAAGGTATTATAGCCTACTGTAATTTAGAGATTATATTCAAAGTTATGAATGAATTGTACACACTTTACCAATGCATATTTACCTAATATCTTGTTAAATATAACTTGCAATTATGCAAATGAGGTGAAATATCCTCATTATAAGACTGTTTACATCTCGCTCTAGGTGCGATAACAATAACAGGGAGCTAGGTCATATTTCTTCTGCTTAGTAGCATCATCTACTGTACAGTATACTATGCATATTTTTCTTTCTGTTGTCCTTAGCTAGTGGGTGTGGTAGTGGGATTGTGGATATGCAGCTACTGATATTCACAATTCGGGTATGTGTTAAACCATGGAGAAAATATGGTAATTATTTAAAATCAGCCCCTTAAACAAATGTAAAGCATGATTGCCCAATGGGGGAGGGGGAGGGAGAATGTCTACAATCAGAGGGCTGATGTCCCCGACCATTAATAGGCATGATAAGGGGTAGGCCTACTATTGCTCGAAACCCTTCTGAGGAGGTCCAGGGGACAAATCCCCAGAACCTACTGACAATAGGATTTTGAAAGGCTTTTAATGTATAAATAGTCACTTAAAATTCTATAACTGCAAAAAACACATCAAGTATTTTTCTCTCTTTGATGAAATGTATATTTTCTCCTCACCTCCTTTTCTCACTGGTACTAGACCAGAAAAACAGATTAGGATTCTGACTAATTAATGTTTATTTATCAGTAATTACATTTTTTAAGAATCTGGACTGCAAAATGATTTAGCTAAAATACATGCACGTGCCTTTATGTCTACTGTACTTGTCATTAAGTCTCTAAAATTAACTAAATTTATGATACGCCATTCCACATTAATGTTTTTGAAAATTAAAATTATATATTTTTCTTGGATAAAAAGGAATTGAATGTCACACACTGGCAATAACTGTAGAACAGTAACTAAAAGATAATTATAAACTAAAAACAAATTATAGATAGGACAAATTATATTAACTGTATAGTACGTAGAGTAACTTTAAACGCTAACAAGTTTAAAAGCTAACCCTCATAATTGCTCGAATTTAAAAATTAGATTTGAAAATAAAACAATTTAATAAGCAGTGCTTATTGACTTTGGGCTTGTTTTGACTGACAAGAAAGAACAGTTCTTAAGAACTGTTATTTTTAAGAACGGTTCTTTGGCACAGAATCAATAAAGCGATCAGGTTATGGATGGAAATAATGAGTGGGTCAAAAGCCTCTATTTTGGCTATCTTTACAGACAGTTCATATCAGTGTTTGTCAGGGGCAATTGTAATTTAATTATCACAAAAAAAAGGTTTATTAGGCTCTATCGTCGTACCTACGAATGTAAGCCTATGCATTGGCAATTCCATAAAAAATTAACACAGAAACTGATGACACAACCTAGGGAGGAGTAGTAGAGCCAGGGTATTCAACATTTATTGTATCGGAAAATACTGTGCCGTACGCTGAGAGCTGAGAGGGTTAGGGTTACTATTACTGAGATATCGTACGGTACCCATGCTTAATCGACCCATCCACACACTGGCGGCAGTAATAGAAAGGCCTATCCAAAATAGTGGGGGAGGCTGATGAATACAAATAAATAAGATAGTGTTAAAAATATTATTTTTATTATTAATATTAATAACAATAATGGTAAAAATGCAGTTTGGCTCAGTGGTTTTTATTCCGGATGTTGAACTTGTAGTCAGCAGGAGTACAAACCAAACTGAAACGGTGTCCAATCTCAGGTGGCCATGTTTAAATATTACAATGAAAATCAAAATGGAAGAATTGAATAAGGTTTAAGATGTTGCAGCGTTTTTTATAGGAAATATTTCTTGTTAATAATGTTCCACCATGCCAGTGATACTGTAGTCCTCTCAGTGATATTACGAACAACATTATAATTTGTTATGAGGAACCAGTAAAAACAAATGTTTAAGTTCTGTTCACAACACCACAAAATATTCTCTTTTGTTATAAGTACTTTATGAACAAAGTTTAACCATTGTTTATTTGAATACCGACATGAGCTAGTATTCGGACAAGATGAATCATCATTGTTTATATCTTGGTAGTCGTGTAAAAGTGTTGTTTTCTTTTATTATAAAGGCCATTTTAAATAGGAAAATGGGTAATCGTTATGTCATGTATATGTAGCGTATCAGTCCAGTAACTGTTTCATGTGGAATAAAAAATGCTGTTGCAAAGCAGTTCTTATCTTGCTAAATCTGATAATCATCTAATGGTAAGAGAATTGTTCTTTTCTGGATATTCAGTAGAAACACGCCCTTTGACTTTGAAAATTGTTCAAAAATACTTAGTAGTATTTGTACAGAGTATAATTATAGAAAAGTAACTAATGATTGTTTAACCGGTTAGCATAACTTAAGGATTACTGCACATGATAATTATAATATGATTGAAAGATGTTTGTTTGCTCATGAAGCTCCATTGTTGATCTACAAATGTCATATAGTGACAGCTTGCTATTGATAAAACGAGTAGAACCTAAGAGTTAAATTCACTTGGAATATTCTACTATGGAAATTGATATTGTCATGGCTGACTACCACCATGTTCAAAATTTCCTTATCAGTTGTCAGTATAAGTAAATAATTAACAACCATGAATTAAACTTTTCTAATTGTGTGTATGATCAGTATAAACAGTACATAATGTACCGTACTTGCGCGAATAAGCGCCCGAGCGCATAAAATATTTCATGAATTTTTTGAGGGGTGCTTATTCGAATGGGCACATATGACAACAGAGTGGAAATTGAGGAGGCACTTATGGAAAAAGATGAAAATTGAGGCTGTTTTTATGGGATCTTGGAAAATTCAAGGGGTACTCTTTGAACGGAAAAAAAGATTAGGCCTAAGGACATCTGGAAACCGAAGATAAATGAATAGATCATTCGCATTAGTATGGTAATAAAATTAGGTTCGATATGTAGCATTGTTAACACAATAAACAAGTAGATAAATTAAAAACAATGCTTGAATTTGAATATTATGATATGATTATATAAAGCACAGCCCTTCAACAAAAAAGTCGTTTTTCAGTTGTATAAACAAATTTTTCCCATAAGTGCCACAATTTATTGGAACATTTTTAGAAGCATTTGTGCAGCACTGATTCAAGAATTGTGCCTATTTGAGTTAATACAAATTATTGTAGCCGTAAAACAATACCAAGTAGTAAAATCAGAAAGATGTGCTTCCATTCATGGAAGTCTATGAAACAATGCAATAAAACACAGGCTGCGTAGGATGTTATTAATGTACCGGTAGTTTGTGTCAATGCCGTGTGTAGACTCAACAATGCCTGCTTTTTGGTAAAAAAAACCCTGTCAGTATTTTGAGGTACAATATCGAGATTGATAATTTAGCCATTCCAAGGCAAAACAATGTAACTTAACAAACAACAAATAAGAATTACGTTGTTTTGCAATGGGATGGTTGAATTTCATGTCTGAACGGAAAGGTGACTTTGGATTTATCTATAGATGCTAACCGTTAGGTGTTGTGTACGAACATAGCTGTAAATACTTGTTGAGAATACTGTTAGCTAAACTTTTTGCCCACTAATTAATACTGTAATTACCTTTTCAATGTATTGTTAGTCTCTTCTAGCTGAATAAACATATAGTAGTTCATTCATTATCATTCAGAAAGAAACTTTAAGTGTTGAGCATAATAAAAGCTCAATTGACCTGCTGTTACAAAAATAATACCATTGTTCATAGTTGCAAAAAATATTTTATGAAAAGGCTATTATAATTTAAAGATGTAATTTGGCCTTTACTGACATTTGTGCTTGTTCACTCTATGGTTCTTTACAGAAATTGAAATTAATAATGATATTTAGTTGCAAAACAACATAGTAGTACATATATATTTGTTACTTGGTTTTTAAAATTAAGAATTGTACAATCAACATTAAAATTGTTGATGTATCCATGGAGGAGTAAAAGTAGGCTTAAATCATGATCTTAACAATGATATGCAGATGTATACCCCCTAATTTAGATAATGGACTCTTCCAATATTGATTATAATAATGAGTACAGTCTTCCATTTGCACGGTCCTCTCTTACGATGATTATGGCATTGATGCTGCGTTGAATTTCGTAGAGAAGGCTTACAACATTTTTCTATACCATATTTACAGGGGAGAGAAAACAAAAAGCAAGCCATATGAAGACACCAAAACGACTTTAACGCGATTTGTGCTTTTTGGACGACAACCAGGGACAGGAATTGACATTTTTTTGGTGAGTTAAGCCAGAAATTATAATTCGAATTTGCAATAGTTATTGATTTTTTTTGAGAGTGGTTGACATGCCTTGACAAAAGCTCTGTATTATATTCGACGTTCGCTGTCTCTGACATGCTGTATCTGATTATTTTAAAATACTGTAAAAGCAATGTACATTTTAGTTTCGAATGTTCTACATATCTAGTTTCATGGCAGTTTAATTTGATATTTTTTTTAAAACTAAATTCCCTATTAGTCAAGCCATGCATAATGAACTGCATACATGTTTCCAATTTAAAATTTGACATTAAGAAATACAATACATGAAAATATGTATGTTTCTGTGAATTAGATTAATATTTGAATCTTTTACTTAATTTAAATTTCAATCTACCAACAGAGTGATGCAATCCACATACAGCTGAATATTTTAGTCTTATATTTGATAAAGCTCAGCTCAGATTACAGTATATCAAATTTTCTTTGACCAAAAACCATTGTATGCCCATATATAGTTATGATATGTTTGTATATGGTCATAATGTGTCATCATGACCATATTTGGGCATGTCATTATTTGATAGTGTACACAGGACTTTAAGAATAATATTATATTTGAGTATTTTTTTTCTTGAGTTTTTCTTTTCAATGATTGGAGTACAAAATTAACACTTATTTGAAAAATTGAAAATATTATTTTATAGTAATTTGTATTGTATTGTATGTTGCTGATTATTATGACTGTTTTATCAACTTTATTCAGTTTAATAATCATGGCAAAATACTATATTGAAATAAGGACAGTCACTATTATTAGGAAAATGTGAAGAAAAACTATTACCTGAAATAGATATGAGTTATGTTATGAAATTTTTAAATGAAGTAATGAGATTCTCATCTTGAATATAATGGACTTGCTCATCCCTGTGGCCAAGTACTCTACCGGTACTTTAATTATAGCAAAGCATTATGGGATGGATACCTAATTATGTGCTGATTATTGGCCTCAATTAATGTAAACAATGTATAGTACTCAAGTATTAGATAAAACAAATACCAATATGAGATTTTAACTGTGTAGAGGTAATAATAATTGTTAATATTTAATTGATAATCATAACACTAATGATAAATATTATTAGCAGTTTGAAAAACAGTGATGATTATGAAGTTAATAATAGTATCATGATATAGATAATGATAACATAAAGTCATATCAATTATCATTATTATATTAATTTCATGCACCTTGCAAAACTGCTATCATCCCTGTTACCACTGAATTTAATTAGAATATTGATTTAATGGAGTATCTTAAGTATCTTAATAATTTGTTGTGTATTTATTAAATAATATTGCTATAGCACCTTTAATAAGCAGAAAAATTATGATGGGTCTAACAAATTTTCTCATGGTCATTAGACTCATTGATCCCAAGTGTCCCATGAGGTGTGGGAGTCTACCTGAAATTGGTACACTCCTGCAAGCAAGCACCTACTGGAAAATAACCCATCTCCTCAAATTCATAATTTGCATGTTTTTGCTACATAATTATCTATTGTCTCATGGAAGCCAGTACCGATGGGTATCATCATGCGCAGCAAAATAAGATTAGTTGTGTTATAAGAAAAGCTCATTTCACCAGATCTCTGTCTTCCAAATTGGGACCTCTGTAGCAATGCCGTAGCCAGGATTTTCAAATTGTGTGGGACAATTTCAGGGTGGACCCACTTTACGCGTAAATTCAAATAATTAATGTGGACGCATTTTCTTAAAAGTTGTCCTATTTTACACAAAAATATGAATAATCTGGACCAATTATCTTAAAATTTGACCCATTTTACACAAAATATGGGAAATCTGAACCCATTTTCTTAAAAGTTGACCTATTACACAAATTATTAGAAATCTGGACCCATTCATAAAATGTGGACCCATTCTTTGTGGATCCAATAGAAAAATAGTGTGGGACTGTCCCAACTGTCCCAATAGCTGGCTACGGCATTGCTCTGTAGACACATCGGATTTTGTTGTAAATATTGTTATTTGATTACAAATTTTGTACATGAGGTACAGTACATGCACACTGACAATATATATAGAAGGGTGATCATGATAAAAGGATATACAATGAATTTAAATAACACAGACACTCATTGAAAGATTTGTAATCAAACAAAGGAACAATTCAAGCCTGTGATTGTGAGAAATACTGTACTTTTGATTTTATTTATTTATTTATTTATTATTTATTTCAACAATCTTTAATGAGGGTGGTCCATCCAGCCGAAGCTGATCATTAGGGACCCTCAATACACATAGTAAGACAAAACATCCCTCCCGTAAAGCACTGAACTATACAGTACTGTATGTACACCATAACTCTTGACATTTACACAATTGAAAATAGGGCATTAAAACCAATAGAAATATCATGGAGTCAGATATCATACAGTATTATCTTTTTTATGGCAAATTGCAAATGTTATACCAAAAGATTTTAAATCAACTTGAAATAGTGAGAGATTGTCTAAGTTACATACATACTGTAGCCTAAATAATTGTGAATTTAAAATTTAATGATACTGTAGGTGTTATTTTATTCAGAAGAAAAGGTATAAATTCTTCATCTCATCTTTGGAATTTCGGACTTAAAATGTATAAAAGAAAGTAAAAAGGTTTGATAAATGTACAGTAGGTCATCATAATTCTCTCCATTGTGGCTGTTTCCCATGCATTTAATTTCACACAATTAGGCCAAAAAGAAAAATATGTTGTGTTGCCCTCCGCGACAGACCAAAATTTCCAAAAAAAATTGGGTCGGCATTTTTGTTTATGTTGTTCAAGTACAAATTCGAGCAATACCACTCCCGAAATTACATTTGGAACAGAAAATCTAAAACATACATGTATTTTTATCAAAATGGGACCAAATGCATGCGTAAAATCAGTAAAATAGAAGGCACAATTTTGAGAACCAAGTGCGATGACGATAAATGCACACATTGGATCTCTCGTGCTGATCTGTCAAGCCACGACCGGACTTAGGCCTAACCTATTTACTAGACTACTGTACAACTAATGGTTGCTTGAATCAAAAATCGTATTCATTACCTTACGGTATATTGGACAATAAAAAAAAACAGGCTTAGGTCTAGCCATTGCTTTAAAACCGGTACATAGCTAGACATTTTTGGCTGTGTTACGGTTTTTGGACAACCATAAATGCACATTTGGTGCGGCACTTATTCAAGCATTTAGGATATTTACTGTGTAAAGTAATGCTTATTATTTTTTCATTATTAATTTTTTTTTTATGGTCGGCAATTGTGACACAATTATCCGAGCCTTAGGCCAAATAAAAAAAATTACTACTTTCTCGTCCCCTTGCACATGCATTTTCTCTGCCTCACCAAATTTTTTAAAATTTGCTTTCAATGTGTCTACTTGGTAAAATAAAAATAAGAAAGTTGTAGCTGTTTCCCATTGACCACCTTGGATTTTCCATCTAGGAGTAAAAAGAAAAAGTGCACTCATTCTCCTTTTTCCGAATATTATTACGAGAAACTACTTTTTTTTTTTACTTGGCCTTTAAGTTACAGTATAGTGAAATTAAAAGCTTGTTTTGATGCTGATAATACAAACTTGCTCATAGATTGAAGTGTACTGTACAGGTTTTATTGAGGTGGTATGTAAATGAAACTTGCTGGTTGGTAAGGTGTCTGGGTATGTTTATCTTGGTAAATCGCAAAACCATAAACATTAAAATTTTACTATCATATTTCTAAGTGTGTTATACTGTAAATAATAAAAATTTATGTTTACTCATTTTTTTGATTTGCAAATATCATGTCATTTGGATCCAACAGAGACTATCCACTTGTTTGTTGATTGCTTTTATCATGCTCTGTATCACATTTTGTATGGTTAATATGTGATATTCTATATAGGCAAGATGATATATCATACCCATATATGGCATGATGATCGTCATAATTTACTCATGGACAAATCACTGGTACTTTCAAGACTTTGAACCTATAAAAAAATACTTCAATTGAAAAATTAGCATTGTCATGTCACATTTGCCTGATTAATTAAATTAAATTAATTATCCTTAACATGAGATCAGACTACAGTATTCCAAATTATGCGTCTAAAATGCTTTTTAATTCACAATTTGTGAGAATCGCGTACTGTCTACAAAACATGTAAATAAATTATACAGATTCATAGATTTTGCTTAGATTTGCCTACTGCAGTCTGATAAATCAAAACATTGAGTATAATATTATTTAATGAAAATATATAGAGGTGTACAATTCATTCTTATAATTTGGTAATTGTTATACAGAAGTTAAATCAATTTTATAATTTTAAATTCTAAAATTTTGTTAAAATTATCACCTACAGTAGATATTCACAATTTCGATCTTGACTAAATTTTATCAAAATCATCACTTCACAAGTCATGATCATCGGTTGGCTGGGCACTGGAACGCATTTCAGAATGCGTGAAGTCATGATCGTGGTAGTCGCCAATGGAATGGGACGTACCATTACTACTAAGGCTAGACTTTTTTTTCATACCTTGTTCGCAAACCTATTTCTTTTAAAAGTTGGTTTTTCCAACAGCCAATTTTAAAACCAAACTAAGGCAAGACTTTTTTATTACCTTGTTTGCGAACTTATTTTATTAAAGATCGTCAGAGGAGGGTGGAAAAAAAATAAAAATAAATTTTTTTTCTTATTTAGCAAATAGTTTTGCAAAAAACATTCAGACAAGGGAGAAAATAAGATTTTATTGGTAAATATAATAATGTAGTAATGGGATGGTTATATGCTTTAAATTTAATTAGGAAGAAATACATATAGTATCATATTTTTGGCGATTTCAAGGCAGTGGCGGGCATAATAAAAGTAAACTTTTATTTTTTTCTGAAATTTTCATTATTTTTGTGGTGACAGGTGCACTAATTATGCAAAAATAGAATTTTATTCGAAATCATCATTATT